ATAGATTTTATTTCATTCCTAATGTTTTATGTCAAGCTTTTCGATTCAGTACTAATTTGAATTTGTCTTTGGAAAATCTGAGATACTTTAGATCAGTGTTCCGCAATCTTTTTCTACTCGCGGCACACATATGACTCGACATGACTCAACACGGCACACAAAAATGTTATTCCCTTCAAAAATGTATGATATGATACTATTAATAGAATTTCGTAATGCCACAAACCTATTATTATTACTATGTTGAGTTTTGTGAGTTATACTTGGTTGACACCGATGACTGTGTACTATGCCGGACCAGAGTCAAGGCATAGTAATCAAAACAAGACAAAAATTTAATAAGTGTGTCAGTGTATGTCTGTATTCAGGAATTTCCTAGCAATATGGCATGTATTCAATATAGTGGCCTTCTGTAGTGTGATTTATGTATTTCTATTCAATTTTAATGTTCCTAGGCTTTTATGTACGTGTGTGGTATGACACCTGTAGAGGAGAGAATGACAAGTACAATAAGCACCCTATCCATCCTCCATAGATGCTTTATTTCCTGGGCGATTTCTGTGTACTTGTTGATTTTTTCAGTGCATGTGTTTTGTACATTGTGAGTGATTGGAACAGATATGTCTCTAATGTATGTGATTTTATTGAATTTGTCAATGAGTGTGATGTCTGGTCTGTTGTGGTAAATTGTTTTATCTGTGATTATGGCTCTGTCATAATACATTTTGTGAGTGTTGTTTTCCAATACTGTCTGTTGAATGTATTTGTAGTATGGTTTGTGGATGTCTAATAATTTGTGTTTCTTTGCAAGCTCAATGTATTTGCTACTTGATTATATCTAAGTTATCTGTCTGTGCCAAGAGCTTGCAACCAGAAGTGATGTGTTGTATGGTTTCTGGCATGATGTGACATTTTCTGCATGTGTCACTTGTGAGTGTTGTATCTTTGAGTATGTGTTTTCAGTATTTATGACCTGATCCTGTATGGCAATCATGAATCCTTCCATCTCCTCAAAGAGCATCCCCAAGCTGTTTGATGCAGTTTTGTCAACAAAATCCTGGGCCAGGTCATAGGGATGTCTCCATGGAGTGCCTTTCGCACTCATGATTGCTTAATGGTGTCTATGCTATTTATATGTTGTTTCGTGTCCATACGTTGTGAATGTAAATTTAATGGTGTATTATTTGAGTCTGCTAGAGTTACTGCTTTATGTAACTGTGACGTTTCTTGCTTTTTGTAGAAAAACTCTTGCAATGTCTGTATTTGTTTGTAGTGGAGATTAACCATGTTGATCAGGCCACGTCCGCCATGTTTATGTGGAAGATTTAGTCTTTCTATGGCAGATTTAGGATGATGCTGTTTATGCTTAGTAAGTGTTATTCTTGTTTTCATTTGGAGTTTTTCAAGATCTGTGTGTGTCCAATGTGTAACTCCAAAAGAATAAGTGAATACTGGGACAACATATGTGTTTATTGCTTTAACATCATCTTATTTCATCAGTGAATGAAATACAAGCATAAGAAACACAATAACTGTGATAAAAATATATAAATAAAACTTGAAATTAATAGAATATGTAAAAGTTCACGTCACACCTTTCACTTTGTGACAGCACACTGGTTACGGAACACTGCTGTAGATAACATTAGCTTTCTGTTCATGTCTCACAAGTTTCCCTTATACAATATATTTTGTGGAAAAAATTTGATGGTAATCCAAAACAATTTTCTGGCTTTCATGTCTTCGGGAAGTTCTGCCTCTCAATTGAATTTTACTGTATTATATTTTTGTTCCATAAATGCAATGTAGCGTAATTACAATCACTTGGCACGATTCACTCGTGTAGTGTAATAACGATCACTTGGCACGAGTGAATCATGCCAAGTGATCGTTATTACACTACATTGTGTTTATGGAACAAATATAAAAAGTACGGCACGGTTTCAAAACATGGCAGATGTATTATATTTGTTTTCACAAAAAAAGAAAAAGAAAAAAAAATTATTGAAAAAGGCAAGTTTCATTTTTCTTGGATTGAAGGGCACCAAAAACATTTTCCAGGGGACCTCAAAATTACTACTGTACTAGTCACTACTGTAATAGCTTACATAGTAGTAGACAAATTAAGCTTATCTGCTGGTATGAAATTTGCTATCATGGACCAACACTAAGCATTTGATGTTTATTACTGTTTAATAGAGCTACTTCCAAATTGAACTTTAGAGCATTGTTTTATTTGATACTAGTTATTCAAATGCCAATAAAATAATTCTCCAACAGTTGTAGATTGTACTGTACAAGTGGAAGACAGAATAAAAAGCTCTGTCTCCTTGAGTTTGCTTGATATACTCACTAAAACAGAGGTCTGAAACATGGTGCATTTCAGATGCACTCTCTAAAACCGTAGTCATGCAAGCACAAATACATAAAATTAAATTAAAATAACAAATACTTGTAATTTTATTTATATACTGTACTTATTTTTAATTTTCATTTTTAGCTCTCTCCACTATAGTGGTGAAGTGCTTTTGTCTGTCTGTGTCAGCTTTCCATGCACATGTGACTTCACTTTCGTTACCTAAGTGTTATGTTCCATTCAATCCATTTATTGCACATGTCCACATGCATGCACAACTATTACTTGATTCCAAAAATTTAGAAAATTTATTTTAAACAAAATATTTGATTCTCTTGTGGAGTGTGCTATCAGATCGGCTTGACCAAGCTTGTTTAGTCATTACATGCATTTATAATCTTTATTTTGTATAAACAAACAAAATAATTGCTTTGAAATAGGTATATTTATTACAGCATTGTGATTTTTTTTCAAAAATTAAACTATGTGCCATTGGTTTTTAAAATTTTTATTGCACCTTTAGTAACAAAGGTTGCCGACCCCTATACTAAAAGATTAAAATATTTCTTTTTATATTTCTTACATCTAATTCTGTACAAAACAAATTAATCTAACAATAACTTTTTTTAAAAACAAACTTAAATTACATCTAAATTTAATACATTTTCAAAGTCCCCACTAATAGTGAATACACAAAGTTCACTCTAATTTCAGTACCGGAGTAAAAGTGTAGGAGTAAAATCCTGACTTCTCTAAACCTGTTACTGGCGTGTGGAATTCGACAGAATCGAATGTCATTTTGACAAAACCAGTCTCACTTGACATGTGCAGTCGTGAGCTGGTGGAGGTAGCCATGGCATCTAATAGGGACTGCTAGGCCAGTGACAGATTTAGCTCCTTCCAGATGACGCATGCAGTTACTTCCAGATACTTTTGATCTCATCGAATTCCACACGCTCCATTCGGAAGCATTCCTAAGCTAGTTGCTCTGAGGAAGAACTGTGAGATAGTTCATAAACATTTGTCACCCACTGTATATATCTTATATGTGTTGCACACCGGTAACAGGTTTAGGGAAGTCAAGAATAGTAAATACCCTTACAGCACAACCGCAAGCTGAAAAAGTTATAGACAACTTGTTTATTAGAATATAGTGTTTTATAATTTCAATTTTGTGGTAAATAATATTAATGTCATGCATTAAAACATTTATGTTTGAAACTATCCATATCATATCATATATATACATACATACATACATGCATACATACATACAACAACAAAAAATAAAGTCACAAGTACATTTAAAAGGTATATTTATTTTTTAAAACATACATAATTTTACCAAATTAATGAAGCATATTATATCTTACTTTTCATACAAATCCATATTCATCAAATAACCACACAGTGGTCAATAAGGACGGTATATGAAAGCACAGTATGCATTAATCACAATTGCGTTGTTAAAAACATTAAATTAAACTATAAAAGTAGAGATTTAAACTTTAAATCATTATTGAGCATTCACATTCACAATATGTGAACTGTTTTAAATTACTTCCACCTATGTTAGAAATTTTCAACAAGAAAAAAAAATATATTAAATTTTTCAAATGTATTACTGATATTAATGACAGATAAAAAAATAGAATAAAATTAAAAACAACTATAAAAGCACTAAACTTTTTTATTTAAACAATAATTTTTTAGTTACTACAGAATTAAAACATTATCTATTGATTAATCAACTTGCTTGTATACATTTTTATTATGTAAATACCTTCAGCCAATTTTTAAATTATTAAATTCACCTGTTAAATGCTCCAGAGCAAATATAATCTTAAAAATTTGTAAGTACAGTAATACCTCGACTTACGCGAACCCAGAGTTACGCGATTTTCAAATCTTGTTGACTGGTCTTTTGTTTGAGCGCCACACAACTTTTGATTACTCACTCCCCCCACACTATTGTTCAGCTTACATGTTCGGATGTGTCACGCGGAATCGATACATAGCTACAATTTATTCTGTATTATTTATTTCTGTGTTTGTTATATCTACGGAGACTTGAGAGACTCTATGTGGTGATTTCTTGCAACCATGAACAAATCAAAAGACGAGATAAGATTAATGAGAACATTTATTAGCTTACATACATCCGACTTGGATTTTACCAAATTGTGAAATTATACCCCGACTTACGTGAATTCGACTTACGCGGTTATCGCTCGGTCCCACCTATCGCGTAAGTTCGAGGTATTACTGTACTTGCAAGTTTAAATTCATCTACAGGCAAGTTGAATACTAAAATTTTAGCAGTCACCATCATAGCAACCAATAAAATAATTTAAAACAATAGCAATCATCATCGCAATAATGCTTCAATCAACTTGCCTGAAGATGAGTGTAAGCTTAAAAGTGCTTGTTTGTGAGATGATTTTCACTCCATTAAAGCATTTTACAAGAGTTTTTTAATTGTATGGAATTTTGTGTTTATTTTTAAATAAAATAACAAAGAATAATTAAATATTAACTACTTTATCTGTTTTAATTGAAATTTGTTCATGTAATGTGAAATGTAATAGTAAACAGTCATAAGTACCTGTAAGGTCTCTCTCCGGTATGGGTCCGAACNTTTATCATTTAACAAAAACATAACTGCTTATACATATTATTCACAGCAAACTATATTAAAACATTATTATATTGAGTTTTATATACAACATAAGTTTTACATAATTTTACAAAGTAAAAGTAATATTGATCAAGGCACTGATATTCAATTTTTGCCAGTGAGTGAATATTTTTCATAATACATGAGAATATTTTCTGCTTTATTCTATTAAAAAATTTACATATAATGTACAATGATTTGTTCACTGTAATTTAATTTTAAAAATTACTATTGTAACAATGTGAATTTTAGCACTGAGTATGAATCTTTTAAAGAAAATTAAATATATTGCAATTATGATTCATTCTTATTTTTGGCAAATAATATTTTGACAAGCAAAATCCTAGGAACATCTTATGGCAACAGTCCAATATGTGAAATTTAAAAGAAATTTTTATCAGGTATCACTTCCAAGTCATCTCTACATCGAGGAACAAATAGAGTACAGCATGTATGTTCCCATATATCTTGGGGATAATGATCGCCTATTGTCCATAATCCTGTTTCTAGATTATAACATTCTACAATGCCACTTGCCCTATCAAAAGTGGTTGCACTATGAAAACCTCCAACAATATATAACCATTGACCTATCACAACAATTCCAGCATGGTAACGAGGTGTAGGAACCCTTGTTACAACACTCCAATTATCTTGAGTAATATTATAACAATCAATGGTATCCACTAATACTCTTGTACCAGTTGATTCATCTTCATACCATCCACCACACACATAAAGTTTATCTTTATAACATACCATTGAATGATCAGCACGTGGAGTCATCATGGGACATTTTATTTCCCAAATATCCATTTCAGTGTCATATCTCATTAATGAATTTAAAACTAAATCTTGATCTAGTCCTCCTGATATATATAAAAATCTCTGCCATGTAATTCCGGCATGCTGTGCACGAGAACCAGGTAATGGTTCAACAGGACTCCAAATATCTGATTCTGGATCATATTTTTCACATGGAACACTATCATCAAGAACATCATCCGTTGATTCACCTGCACCTCCAACAGCAAACAGATAGTTGCCAACTACAGTAAGAGAAAATCTGCAACGTTCTTTTTGCATTGGTGCCATGGTAGACCAAGAATTGGTAAGAGGATTATAGCGAAAGCCAAAAGGATGAACATTTTCTTGCAAACTTTGATTAAAACACCCACCCACAATAAATAATTCATTATTTAAAACAGCTGTGCCAAAATTGCATTGCTCAACATGAGGAATAGAAGTAAGATATCGCCATTTTCCAATGCTAGGTAAATAATATGTAATTTCATTTGTTACACCAGCTATGCCAAAACCTCCAACTTTTAATAATGCAAGTTCCATTCCTCGTGAGTTAATGAGAGATGCACCACAATTTTCTGTCCAATGACAAGTTTTTGGAATTTGCCAGCATCTTCCACAAATACTAGAACCAGAAATAAGGCACTTAAGGATTGATGTTTCTGAAAATTTGGCAAGTTGTGCAGAAGAAATTTCTGTGAAATGAATATTGCAAAGTAATTGGTGGGCATATTTAATTCTTTCTTGTGGTCTAAATTCTATCCATTTTAAAACAGTCTCTAAAACTTCACTTTCTGGACAATCAACTGGAAAATCACATTTAAGTACATGTTCCAATTGAATTACTGAAAGACGTTGGAACTCAGCAGTCCTTGAAAATTGCTGTAAATTAGTACAAATAAACCTATAAACTTCTTTTCTCAGTTGTTGTAATGAATACATTTCAGCAATAGTTGCTACATCTACACAGTTATCCAAATCCAGTTGTTCTTGAAGATAGGAAGAACAAGCCTCAACAACTGCTAATAACTGAACATGATTAGCTGCAGATAATACATCTTGTATATTAGCAAGACTTAGGGCCAATCGTGAGGTATATGCATATTCTAAAAGATAGCGCATCCCTTCTGCAGTTACTCCATTCAGACAAATTTCGCTTTGGCGACTTTCTTTCATGGCATCAGTAAACATGGCACGAAAATAATCACTACAAGAAGCTAAAACCACTCTATGAGCATGAAATGACTGTCCTCCAGCAATCAGAGTGACATCTAATAATAAACCTTTACTTCTTAAAGCATTTAATCCACTTAATAATGTCCCCATGTGAGAAGGAGATTCAAAATGAACTGTATTGTAAGCAGATGTGCTTGAAACAACACTTCTGATCTCTCTCATCTTTTTATATCTAAGTATAATCATAAGCAGCTGTGGTAAAAAAATATAACAATAATTAAATTTGAAAATATTTAAAATAATATAATAATACTTAAATATTTTCTAAATTAAATAAATCTAATATTTCATAATGCTAGTTTTAAAAATTAAGCAGGCATAGGAAAATTTTTAGCAAAGAAAATATATAAATTATAAACAAGAGTAATATTTCCTGAAAATTACATAATATACAAGAATAAGCCATCATATAAATTCACTAACATTAAGCATGTACTGTACAATAAGGATTCAATAATTTCTATATTTAACAATGTTTTTAAATTTAGTTTGTGTAATATGTTGTTCAAATTCTTCAAATTTAAATGGATGTTCCTTAAAACAATCTTGTTATTTAACTGCAGCAACTGAAGAAGTTTAAATGCTTCAGAAAAGTGCTGATACTCAATTTACAGTCATTTTATTAAATGTTTTAGTGTTTACAATTGTGGTTACTCGATTTTGTTTTTAAAAATGTGATGATTTGTGTTATGAATGCACATTTTCAGCTAAAAATGTGTGTTATGCAATGCTATATCACTTTCTTTTCATTCCTTTCTGTGCAATCATTTCACAATCCATTTATAACTACAGAAAAGTTTCTTACTGCAATTTTTGTTGTCCAAGCATTTATGGAACTAATATATATCAGAACTAAATCTATATAAAAGTATAAAAAATCTATCAACAAATTACAACAATATTGGAAGTATCTATATTATAAATCTATACAACAATGTTTTCATCATTAAAATGATAGAAACATTAAGTCATGAATCTATACAAACATTATTTTATTTTCATCAACGTTAAATCAAAGCTAAAAAAAATTTTAATGAAATATTACATTTGTAGTTTTATTAAACAAAAGGAAGAAAAACTAATTATTTTCATCTGTAATAAATCTATTTGTAACTATGATTTCTAGAATCTGAAGTGAAGTTTATAATTTATTCCCTCATAGGGTAATATGATAAGTTGAATATTAGAGAGAGAGAGACCAAAACCATTATATATTGGAAACTCAAATGTAACATTACATATTAAAAAAATAAATTTTAGTCCTTTCCTTATAAAACTGCTTTTATTAGATGACAATTATTTTTCCTATTGCAAGGCTTATTGCAAAATAAAAAGCACTTGTAATTCTATTATATATAGAATTACAAGTGTGTTTTTTTATTAATTTATTAATAATAAGAATAATTTATAAAATTATTATTTCCAATTTTTATTTTAAACAATTTTTGTATTTTTAAAGGCAATATGCTTTTTTTAATATTAAAAATTATTTTTATTAAAACCATGATTTCATTAATTTTGTTACAATAAATTCAGGTTTTCCTTTTATCTGTTTTTCTCAAATTTTCTCAAGGACTGGTTTTAATAAGGAAAAAAAATAAATTTTTGACTGCAATATCAATTTTTAATGAATTAATACATTTTCTGTAATACAGAATATATTACTGGTCTAAATAATGACAATATTGATCTAGATAACTGAGCACATTGACAAAGTTAAAAAAAATAATTGAATGTTTTCAGTTGTAACTAAAAATACTCTTTTCTAAACAAGAACTTCTATTTTGGGAAAAATCTTTTCAAAATTATTATTATTAAAAATTTCAAAATTACATAGTTTTGTTCTTTATTAATAATGTAGAAAATGTTTACAAGAATCTTACATTTCTTACTTTATTTAAGGACAAGATTGGTATAACAATGCCAATTTATTCTTTATTAAGTTTAACTGTTATTTAAAAAGGTACACAAATCAATTTGGAGAATTCATTTATGTTAAATGTTTTCGTTTAAAAATCTTGAAATACAGTAGAGCCTCGATTATCCGACCCTCGATTAACCGACACCTCGGTTAACCGACCGTCCTAGTCGGCAAATTTCAAATGTCCGCTAGTGATGTGGCGCTACAATATTTGGCTATGTCTTGGCTACTTTAATATTATTTTTACATGTTTTAGCTGGCAACACTCATTCAACCATGAAAAGGAGCCAGTATTTAAACGAGGCTTAATTTTCTAATTTTTAACGATACAATAGCAACAATTATTATTTTAAAAAATTTTTGTTAGACTTAACATCGATGAAAATTCAACGAGAAGTAGGTTAATAGCGATATACTAATATACTAATTACATGGGATATAATAATATACTACACTAATAATGGATTTTTTCATACTTTTCGGTTATCTGACTTTTCAATTATCCGACCAACCCCAGTCCCCAATTGAGTCGGATAATCGAGGCTCTACTGTACATCATACATCATAAGAATAAAAAAAAAAATGGCTAGCATTATCAAGTCAATACAATTAAAAACATTTCTTTGAATTTCTTTATAAATGATATATGTACTTATTATAACATATCATAGGTTGAATTATATTAAATCAGCAACAGAGACTAAAAAATTACACAAGCTGAATAACTATACAAAATTAACTTATATGGATTTCACTGATCACTGATAAAATATTTAAGTGGAAGCAGACTACTTATAGGAAAAATGAAATACTTTATGGCATCCTTTTAAAAGTACTGTACTATAATGTCTTAAGAATGTCATATCATGGCATTCTATATTTCAAATTTATTTTTTAGTTTTTATACATCCTTGTTTTAGATTTAACCTTTTATAATAATGATTTTGTTTAGAATCTGTCAATTAAATATATAAATATTTATTTTATTTTTTACAGTATTTCAAAATTTAGAAATTGTATGTATTCAAGTAAGAAAAGGTTCTAAAAGATGATAAAAATTCTTTTAAATTGTTCTGTTGTTCCACAGAAAACTGTCAAAAAAGGAATCAAAATTCAAATTTTGAGCTTATTATTTGTAAATAGACATATATAAAACTTACATGATAAAAAGTAAACCCAATATGGTGACACTTTCATTATTAATTTTCACTATATTTCAGCATATCAGCAATAAGTTTCCATTGTTCAACACCTGTAAAATAAATTGTTTAAGTAACTAACAACAGTAATAAAGAAAAACATGGTATAGTAATCAAATTAAGTATTATGATGAATTAGATTCAAGCTGAATATCTAACTTGTTTTTTTATATAATTTCTTAATACTGCATTCTCTCGCTAATCAGCCTCTCAATTATCTGGCATTCAGTATGATTATCAAGTCACACATCCTGTTTACTCGGGTTTAATTTCTGCATTAAATACAACCAACTCAATAATTACTTCAAATATCAAACAAATAGCCAGATTCTTTTATCAGGTTATTAAGACTAAATATTTACTAAATACGAGGTGTGTTCAAAAAGTATCGGACCTTTGGTCGGCAAAAATAAATTTATTGATTTTGATGTACAAAACCCTAATCCCCTTCAAAGTAGTCTCCTTGGTAATGTATACACTTCTCCCAGCGTTCCTGCCATTGCTGGAAACACTGCTGGAATGCATCTTTTGGAATGGCCATCAGCCGGTCCGTCGGATTTTGCACGATGTCTTCTCGCGACTAAATTCGGGTTTTTTTTAGTGGCATTTTCAGCTTGGAAAATAGCCAAAAGTCACACGGAGCCATGTGGGGAGAGTACGGAGTGTGACGAACCACAGGAGCGTTATGTTTGGCAACAAAAGCCCGAATCAGATGCGCAGAATGGGCGGATGTGTTATCACGATGGAGCTGCCAAGTTTTGATCGACCACAGATCCGGTCGTTTGCGTCGCACAGCATCGGAATGATGATGAAGGACCTCCTGGTAGTACTCCTTTGCGATGGTTTGGCCTTGTGGTGCGTATTCATGACACACCACCCCACGAGAGTCGAAAAAACTGTCAACATGACCTTTGATATTGCTATGGACCTGCCGCGCTTTTTTTGGCCTTGAGGATCGTCCCCGAAAGCCTGCTGAATCTTGCGAATGGTTTACACTTGGGTATCGCCAAGGTTTTCGGCAAAATTTGATGTAATATCGCTGCTCACGTTGTTCAGTCATTTTCCAGCTTAGTGGAATCCGACGAGAGCGCACTACATGACCTCATTCATAGGCCGATTGCCAATGACTGACGCTTCCTGCAGGCAGGAAAAAATTCAGGGCTGTGCATGACTGTCCCCTCCACAACTCCACCGAAGGAGGCCTCTCGCGCATCATTGGTTTACGCAGAAAAAAAAAGGTCAATACTTTTTGAACAGACCTTGTATTTAGCTTAATACTTTGACAAAGGAATCCAGCTGTTCATTTGATTTTTAATTTGTGTACAGTATTGCATTTCAGCAAACTGTATTCTTTACCTGCTTGCCTCCAAAAAGAATCAGTACCAAATGGCAACAGGTCACATCATTCATTGCCTTTATGCTTACACACACACACACACAGTAACCTGGCACCACTCTGAACAAGAAATGGCCAGATTAGTGAGAATCAACTATGTGCTAATATTCTTATGATTGAGCTCATTGGATCACTTTTACTATAGAGTGAACTGTTTTTAGATTATGTTTTCTTATATCTGCTAATTTATTGGATTTCATATCAATTTATTTATATATTTATTACTCGTTCATTAAAAAGTAAAATTAAATTGCTAAATTTTATAAAATAAAAACAATACTTCCTAACTGTAACAGTGAAACCTGCTTTCTTGCATTTCTGAACAAGTAATATCTATTCAACTAATAATAATATCCAATATAAAAAGAGAAGGAAGGAGGAGGAAAACAAATCAACCTAGTAAATCATACTTCAACTCAAATTCAAAAATTCAGCCTAACCTCTGTTTTCTTGGAGATCAACTTCAGAAACTTTTGTTTTTGAATACAGTGGTATCTCATACCTTGAATGCTAAATTTGACAAAAATTTGTTTTAGAGTTTGAACAATGTTTCAAAGTTTGAACTGTGTATGCAGTGAAAAAATGTGCTTGAAGTATAAGTGGAATCTATGTGCCCAAGTCATCTCACTCTTGCATTACACTCATGTTTTCAGTGCTTTTTTCACTTTAGTTAGGCCCACCAGTAGCCAAGCAGTCTTTGTACCCTGAACACTGGGAGTTCGGTCATGGGTTCACGCCTCGCTCAGACAGGCTGGCCATGTGGAGTTTTCCGGGTATTCTCCACGTCTGTAACGCTTAAATAGGGGCCAGTTTCCCTTAAAAAGACCTCCTGGAAGGCATCCCCCCTAGGCAGATCACCCAAGTGTTGCATTGCCATAACTCAAACAAACCAAACCACTTTAGTTTGGGTGTATTTGTTTATATATACTGCATGTTATTCATTAATTTTTAACAATGCCTTCCTGCAAATTTTCTTCATTAATAGCTTTTGAGCATCCTATCTTTTGTATCCTTTAATTGAAAATTTCTTGAAGAGAACTTTTTAAACCACATTTGATATGTTGAAAGTTTAGGAGTATCTTCTCCAAACACATTACAAATTATTTTCTTTACTGTTTGAGTTTCAGAAAGGATAATGCTTACAAACATAATATGCCTGATATCTTTTTATCTGAAGATATTTCAACTTGATTTTATTCAAACAAAATATGAAGTAAAAAGTTTATTTTAAACTTCTAAACAAAGGATAAAAATTTCACATTAGCAATAATATGTAAAATTTCGCAACTGTTATACTTAGATCCCAAATCTGTGTTAAGTAAGGACAGCTGTTAAAATATATGCAAAAACTTTCTTTTCAACCCAATATGGCCTTTACTTATTAGCTATGGTATCGGAAAAGTGTGTGGAAGCAATGAAGTCTAAGAAGAAGATTGTAATGTAAATATGTAATATGAAATGAAAAAGCATCTTATTGTGAACACTGAAAGTAGTATACAAGTGGCAGATCTGATGGTCACGTTTAAGATTCCAAAGTTGCTAATGTGTGACCAGTAAATGCAATTTTCATTTTATTGCACAGTATTTATATATTTTATTTATTGTTTATGTTTTAAGTTTATCGAAATGGGTATTGTTTAGGTTCTGGAAATGGATTAATTCACTTTTCATTATTTCTAATGGGGGAAATTGATTTGAACTTTGAATGACCTCCTAGAATGAATTAAATTCAAGGTACAGTCCCATCCAAAATGCTGTTCAGGATTACAGAAAATGTTGGCTTTCCCACAGTAGTCACAATTTGCTTGCATTAAGCATGTCAAGCACTGAATGCTTTGGATGATCACTAAGCTATTACTTCCATGGCAATGGGAAAAGGAATGCTTGTCAGAGAAACTGAAAGTTTTTCTGTCAAAAAAAGTTTTCAGCAAAACAAAATAATATATTAGTACAATATAGAAGTTATGTCTTTCAACAAATATCACCACCATCTAAAATTTGTTTAAGCAATATTTACCATAAATACTAAGCAAGACTATGTATTGCATAGTACAGTAAGACCCTGCTTAACGTGGGAGATGCATTCCTAGAGGACAAAGTGCTAAATGAAACAGCCTTAAACGAGGTAATTTTAACATAGAGTAAATAGGGAAAGGAGAACATGTGACCAAAAATAAACAAATTTTAGTTTAATTTTAAGTTATTTTTATATTAATTCGCAGACAGAAATATAAAGTTTATTTTTTGTGATGAATGTCCTAGCTTTTCTGAAATTCTTATTTTTTGTGTTAAAGTTGTGTAGTTTCATTTGTCACTTTTTTTTTTTCTTTCCTCAAGCAAATGTTGGTAGCAGAAGATTGCATCCAAAACGCCTTGTCTCGCTTTTGCACTCCTTTCAAAATCTAGATCATTTGCAACAGTTTGATCGATGATTTCAGTTATCATTACCAAACTTTTACTAAGGAGATCTGTTGAGAAATTCTTTGGTTCCTTTGTTTTCAGAATCACTATTTTCCAGTTCTACATGAAGTCCTTCTGCCAGTTCTTGAAGGTCGTTGTTAGTAAGGCTCTCATCAGAAACATGCAGTAACTTCTCAATATCCTGTTCATCTATAATATCCTAGTCCTGCCGTATCGATTAGGTTGACAATTTGGTCAACCTAATCGATACTGCGATAGGCTCTTCTTGTTGAGAATTCTTGGATACATTCAGCCATAACTTCTTCCACACTTTGCTCATGCATTCATCAGTTAATTGGCAAGCGCCAAATCCGACAGAGGGCGCTGTTTTTGAGCCAAGATGGCTGCCGAAACACGTAAGGAGCCGACCATGTGTTTGTTCAGTGCCTGAGTCAATTCAGTTTCTATCAGTGACAACTACTGCGAGGACCAAATGAAGAACAAATCATTGAATTTATGTCAAATTCTAGACTATATCGGCGACAGGAAATGTTGTCTTGTAGAAGGTGAAGCTGTTTTGGATGCAGCCACATCGTATTTTGTGGATTAATTAAACTCTAACAACAACACCGAAGTTCATGTTGTTGCTTTAATGTTGCAATCTCAGATATTGGCATTTTAATACATCTCAATTACAGGGAGAATGCACATGCAAAGCGGAGCTGTCTGGTTTTTTGTAAACATGTGATAACGTGTTTATTACACGTTAACAGGTGAGAAGTATTTAAATATTTTAAGCAGTATACACCATGTTCCAATATAAAAACAAAGTTTTATTTATCATAATAGTTAAAATTAGTGCCAATCTGAAGGCTGCCCTGCTGAGTCATTCAGCACTTATACAACATAGGCCAGTCAAAAGTTTGTAGCACACATTGTTTTGTGTGTGTGTGTACGTCACATATATCCAAAACGGTTTCACGTTTGACAAGACAACGTTTCCTGTCGCCGATATAGTCTAGAATTTGACATAAATTCAATGATTTGTTCTTCATTTGGTCCTCGCAGTAGTTGTCACTGATAGAAACTGAATCGACTCAGGCACTGAACAAACAAGTGGTCGGCTCCTTACCTGTTTCGGCAGCTATCTTGGCTCAAAAACAGCGCCCTCTGTCGGATTTGGCGCTTGCCAATTCTTGCCAGGCGAAGTCAATATTTTCTATGGCATCCATGATGTTATATCAATATTTTTACGAAAATTGCACCAAACAAACATAGATTTAAGGGAAGTACAGTGCTACAAGTTACTGCCTTTTGCTGATTGGTTCATGTTCGTAAATTATCGTATTATATACGAATCAATGAAATGCCACAATTTGAATCGGCATAAATTTTGAGCTTTTTCGGTTTCAAGCAGACTGCATTATATCAAATCAGTGTTAATCGAGACAGAGTTAAATTAAGCAGGATCTTACTGTATTTTGTAGTGAAGGGGGGTCCCGACCGCGACCGTGTTTAGACGTGTGTTTTTGTGCTCCATGTTCGGATTGCGTCTTTTCCGGATTAACTCAACGTTGGTGAGTGTTTTATATATCATTTTAAAGCTTAAAACAAGCTCTTTTGAACGCCGTTTAAGGTTTTCTCCTCCGATTATTTTTTCGAAAGTTACGGCAGTTTTTCGGCCGCGACCACGTGGCCGTATAACGGACGGCTTTTTCGCGGGAATTTTGTGTCATCGGTTTCTGATGTTTATTCCGCTGTTCTCGCCTCTTAATTCCGGTGTGTTTGATACCTTAATTAATTAAATTAATAATTGTCAACTTTTGCCTATTAGTTACTTAATAACCGCGACCGTCACTGGCAACTTTTGGCCGTTCTTTTTCGGCTGTTCTATTTGGCCATTGGCGCTGATTTTGGCGTGCTATTAGACAACGTTGCCCTTGTTATTGTTTTAATTTTTCTTCTGGTTTTCTTTTCCTTTCTCTCGCGAGTAATCGTGACAAATTTTAACAAAGGGTCAGCGATCATTGTCCTCGCCACGTGGTCGTGTGCTCTCCCCTAACCGACTCTAATTCAGTAGCTTGTCTCGCTCCTTGGAGCGCTGCTTTTGGGTCGCTTTGAACGAGCCGTATATCGTCGGTAGCGTGTAAATTTATAGTTTTTCCTCGTATTACTGAATTTGTTCTATATTGCGTCTTTTCGTACTCTTCTACCTGATCCTAATTCGGTTTCTTAATTTGCCGGTTGTTGCCTAGCTACTATTTGCTGGCGATCGCGTGTTATTTCCTTTTTTAGTTATAATTCTCTCTGCATCACTGACGAATTTTGTGATTACTTCTGCGTGCATTATTGGTGCACCATGGACCCTAACATGCTATCGACGTTTTTGGACAATGCACATAAAATCGCCGACGAGATTAAAGGTTACTGCGCGGACAATCGCAACAAACATCTCGGCACGGCAGAGCATGTGCAATACATCTTCAATCAGATCCAGATGATTATAGACTTTGCTGAATCCACCAATAACGAACTCAGCCCACCTGTGAAACATCTCACCTCTACTGCTCCTAAAATAGAAGACCCAGCCCATGCATCCTCTCCTCTGGGAGGGAATGCTCCAGATATGCAACCCACGGAAATAGAGATTACCAACGACATGTGTGTCCCTCCATTTCTGGGAACTCCCATATGTAAGGGACCTCTGTCCCCTAATCATAACGAGTCGTTGCTTACCGGCATGACCCCAACATTGCCCATCCTGCTGCCACTCAGAAATAAACTAACACCTGATTACCACTCTACTGATCTCAGTAAAAAACTTGCAGAGATCATCACCAAGATTGATGGCCTGACAGGATGCAACGAGAAGATCCACATGAAGGTAGAAGATATCTCCTAAAAGCTTAATCAAAGAAGCCCTACAGGACAACTAAAGGAGATTTCTGGAGAAATAAACCAATTACGAGTAATTACAGACTTTAACTCCACTCCCACTGAAAAACCACTGACGTACAGTGCTATCCTCCAATCGGGGAAGACCATAAATCAGATTAATAATATAAAACCCCCGAAAACTCCTACATTAAGCACTTAAGTTTTACTTCTAATACCAAAATAACAACGACAAAAGTTGCAACAACCTAAGAATCTAATAATAAA